AAGTAAGTAAGTAATAAGAAGTACATACAAGGTGGTGTCAATGTAAATTTGTGTGTAGAGAAGAATGTTTGTGAGAATGAATCCCTTTTTTAGTTTTTATGATATTAAAAGTTTTGGAGCATAAATGTGTTGATCTGTGTAAAGTGTCATTTGAATTTCTTTTACAACTCCCTTTATGACTCAGAGAGTATTAAATCTATTTATTTGTCAAAAGAATTCAATCTATTAATTTTATTTCGAATTTTCTATTTGGGTGGCAGTATTTTAATACATACAGTATTGCACATATCTATAGCACCTCCATTTCAAAGTGATATTGTTTTGAACTTATGTTTAATTATTTATTTTTAAGGATTTTCAATTAAAATACAGTTCATTCTCTAACAAAACTCATACAAACCCAAGCTTAAAACTTTTTAAAAGACTACAAGACAAGACAAATTTTCATCCACATTTTAAACTTTTTTTCAGAAGCGTTAGAATTTTTTCGAGTACGCAGTTTTATAACCCATTAAATTTTAGTCTGATAATGTGCAAGTTTACATGGCTAAAAACTACCGTTGACTTTTTAGAGTTTTTTTGTTTGCTTCCATATAACGAATAAAGACAATTTATTTTTATATGGAAGAAACCCGCAACATGAAATGAAAATTAAAGCTACAGTACTTATCACAATTGTACACAACCAAGTTTTGACTATTAATTTTTTTCATTATTTAATTTTAATTATTATTTTTTATTTATAAAAATGTTTATTATTTAACAAAAACCGTATAAATGCAGCTGCAAACTTTGTACAATATTTAAAAAATCAAACAATTTTCGCAAACATTTCGAGCTTTTTAATAAATTTCTTAGAAATAGTGTACAATTTTGTAGTGAATAAAGTGCAAGTTTAACATAGCTCGAACATAGCCGACGATTTTTTCACATGGAGAAAATGAGCCTTCACCTTTAATAAAAAAAATCCAAAAATCAACGGTAAGTCTAAGAAATCTAATTGTTAATTTTTTTAATATTGCACACAGGTTTTTAACTTGGATTTATATGGTTTTTGTTAAAGAATGAACTATATTTTTATAAAAAACTAATTAATGTCAAATAAAAAAATTAATTGTCGAAACTTTTCAATATGTGGGTGGCGTATAATTGTGATAAGCACTATATTATCTTGAAAATGTCATAATGAACGAAAAAAAAGTGATATTCAGGGTATGAATTCTGCAAATCGACTACGTGCCTTGCATACAGAGTACTTCGCGGACGCAACGGGCTTCAAAGTAAGTAAGTCAGTTGTATGAGGCGTAACAACATCTCAGTCTCCGGATCAACGCTCTTGCAAATGATTGCCTTTATACCATTGCCTTTATACCACACAGCGCGGTATAGCTATCAAATCGACGGATACCGCGCTGGAAGTCATCAACATATATAGACAACTATTTGTCCAGCTATACTACTTTTCACCTTTAGGATATCGACAGAAAAAACATCGAAATCGATGTCGATTTATCAATTTTAAAAAAACGATGTCGAAAACATCGACCATAAACATCGATGCTTTCGATATTTTGAAATAAATCTAGAAAATACTAAATATGAGGTGAGTTGCAGCAGCAAAAAGCAAAATACCTCCCACCATAAAAACTTTTGGAATGCAAAAAAGCAGTTTTAATGCAAGTTTCAAATGTTTTCTTACAGAATTATTTATTCAGGCAGGCGCCAAAATTCTTACATACAAAATTGTATTTATTTCTTAAAATATTTTGTTATTTTAGTGCGATTGGCTTCTATTCTGCTAAACATATTTGCCATAATATCGATGCATCGATAATTAAGCATTGTATGGAAAACATCGATGCATCGTTAGCATCCCTAAGCGATGTGCTGATGATGTCGCTAACGCATACAGAGGCAAGTTCCCATACATATGTACATAGATAGTACATGCCTTATGACTTCTGCGTAATTTGGGCTCTTTGCAGGAAGGAATCAAGTACCGCCGGTAAATGCACCCGAACTAAAGGGGTCCCATCTAAGAGTCCCGAAGAAAGCTAAATGCTTAACCTCATTTCGGTTCCTGACTACAGCGACATAGAGAGTGACTGCAAGGCGAGCGAACTTGCAATGGGATATACGATCTAGCAAATTCTTCTAGAAAGAGAGCGCATTAGTACTCCACTTCCAAGCTGATTTTCAAAGGCGATTTCTATGCTCTGGGAATTGAAAGATGTCGTAACTCTGGCCAAACTTGGTCTAGGTGGAATCTAAAGCTTATATTCTTTAAGAGGATAGGAGATATCTAACAACAATGGTGCTCTAAAAGGCCTTTTCAGAAGAAACTTATCATGCACTGTATATGTTAGAGTAGATTGCAACTTTTGTGTCGCCTGTTTTTACGAGCTAACTATGTGGAGTGGCGCATATAAATCTAAGGTACCCGGCCATGATCGTCACTAAGAGTAAAAGGCCCAGCAAGAGCGAGTGGAGCTTTTCCAGCAGCCATATCATGACATGTCTTTCGCATAAAGCCTAAGTTTCTCGGTGCTTGACAGTGCAGATGCATCTACCTACCTTCCATCGTACAATATATAGGAAACTATATTCTTGGAAATTTAAAAAAATAGAAAAGAGGGGCAGAGAGATGTGAGCGCGAAGAGCTTAAGATGCTGGCAGACAGGGTTAGAGCCTGAAAACTCAGAAATTAAAGCAGGCGTCGAATGAGATCAAACCCCGGTCTAGTTCTTTAAGTGACGAAGTTGAAAATCTGGTAACAGACATATGGAGTACACTTGAGATATAGAGGAAAGACTTAACAACACTTATAAATGGCAACACCGGTGGCGCGTTTCATGAAGCAGAACCTAGACCAATGTAAACGAAAGATGTGCACGTCCCTTCACTCGGCAAAGGCGAGCGGCGAGAACAGCAAGAATGTGGCTTAAAAACAATAAAGCCCCTGTAGTCGGCGATCTGTCGGCTAAGCTGTTCAAAGCCGTCGGCAAAGTGCTTCTAGGGCGGATGTATCAGCTGTTAAGCATTTAGGATTGGAATATCCAATTTGTCCTGCTGTTCGGATCAATTTGCGCGTGAAAGAGCTTTTTAGTTTTGCAAATAAGTTCCTATCACCGATACTGTATGGAATAATGAAGCACTTCATAAATTAAATTATTTGACATTATTATGCACTGTCTAGGCGTTCGTCAAATCCTGGAAAAGATCTTCGATAAGCGAATCGACACACCCGATATTTTCGTTATTTTAAAGCCCCTTTTGGCGGCATGAAGGGAAACTGAATCCGGGACGCCATCAACATCTCCAGCTCGTGTCAACAGTTGCTACTTTGGACTTAGTAGACAAATGAAAAGCAGAGCCAAAATAATTACGCTCCATATATTTCTAATCGTTCCTGTCTTTAAAATCGCTCGGAAACGTGTACAATATCGCACAAAGATGATAACGGTTTGCAAACTTTCGAGCTGTACTACGCAAGATAACTGGCGCTATTAGCGAAGGCGCCAAAGAAGATGGAATGACGAGCTATATGGACTTACAAGCCGGACTGAACATAGTTTAGCGCTTAAAAATGCTGCTTTTGACATGTCGTATATGTTGATGCACAGGTAAAAAGGTTTTTCGATGCGAAACCCTGGGATGAACAAGGAAAGCAAAGACGCCCACGAAACCAGTGGAAGGATCACGTGAATAAGAGTATGTCTGCTTTCGCGATGATAGAAGTGGTCCTACGAGAAAATCAGTTTCCTGGTCTGGTTTTGTAAAAAACTTGTCAAGAGCCGGTTGAGAATTGCAAACAATAGTGCTCACGAATGGAAAAAACGAGGTTATTTAAAAATAACTGCCAATAATATCGATGATTTAAGAACTTTTTATTGACTAAAGAGTTGAATAGAGTAAATGGTGTCTTAGTTGTAACAATAAGGTAATTCGCTGTACTACATATAAATACACTCGCTACAAATATCACACGCTCATCCAATTACGCTTACACAAGATACAACTAATACACAAAAGAGCGAATACCCATGATGTAAAACTAAGGTTAAATTTGTGGGTTAAAAATATCGAAAAGTACCAAAAAAAAAAAATTAGTTAGGAACTATTTCAGCGTTATTTGAATTATTAAGTCTCAATGTGAACTCGACCGGAGAAGCGTCATTTAACGACGCACCAACAAATATTCAGCGCTGTTGTTCGACAACAATGTCCCTCAATCATTAAGACGAAGCGCCGTCAATTACGCAATCCAAAACAAGTAGGTACAGCAAAGGCACTACTGCACATCTGATCAGATGTACGATTACGTTTAAGCGCGCATAGTTCATTCACCGTCGGCAGAGTGTAGAGGCAAGCGGCAAACGCCAAGCAAGAACAATGAAAATGAGAGTGCCACTGCGGAGGCATTACATGATTGAACGAATGAGGTACACTGCGTAGCGCGTCGAAGTGATCGCAGACATGTTTTCCAAAAAAAAACATATACACTCATATACATACTCTCAAAACATCTGTACATGAGCCCTCTGTTTCATTACACGATCATCAAGTTTTGGCTTACTCATGTGACGTAGCAAAACTGAGGCGCCAATCAGTGCGACATCCATTCAGATGGCAACTGAAGCGACTTCAGCGCCAACAATGCACAGTGAGTGTGTAGCAATTCATTGTTGTTGGTGTGCGTGGCGCTACTTGGCGCATGTGACCTCGATGGGCACGCGAAAAGTGAGAATCAAAATAAAAACGCGAAAACAATTGACGCACCGCTTAAGCAATTAGATGGCGTGCGGCGTAAAACATGTGGTTGGACGGCGAGCAAGCGACGGACAGGCAGCACAATTGCTGCGTTTCAGTCAGGAAAGAGTAGGTGGTTTCATTGATAAAAGTAAGCTTATTGTAATATACATACATATGTATGTATGTTTATCAAAAAGTAGCTTGCATGATTTATTTTCTGTGAAAATAAATTGCATAATTGAACTTACCCGCTCTTCCTCACGTATCATTTCCGCAATGCCTGGCTTTATTTCCAGATCATCGGCTAGCGAAGGTGTATGATGTGGCCCATGTGTTGTGGGTGGACCTGTTGCATGCTGCATACCCATGCCACCTAAATCCATCTGCGCAGCTACGGCGGCCGCCATTGCAGCCGCTTGTGAGCCCAGCGCAAATCGCGAGTCACCGGCGCCAACGCCCTGCTCTGAGCGGCCGCCCACACCACTGCCACTACTGGCGCCCATGCCGGCCGATGTCGGTGTCATCTGCCCACTAAGCAAGCTGGACGGGTGTGTAGGCGTCGCAGGCGCTGATGAGGCTGGCGATGCGCGATGTGAATGCAGGAGATGCGACGGTGCTTGAGATTGCATTTGCCCAGACAAGTGGGGAGACTGCTGTTGGTGGTGCGTATGTGGCTGTTGCTGTTGCGACTGTTGATGCGACGGTAGATGTGGCTGCGCAACGCCGGGTGGTGTGCGCATTGGACGCAATAGTGAGGGTGCTGGTGTCGTTGATGGCGAGGCCAGGTCGAGGTGCGTTGTGGTCTCCAGTAGAGAGGGTGTCAGACGCGCCGTACTGCGGCTGGACTGCGCACCACTGGAAGGGGGTGCACCGCCGGCGGCAGATGTTGATGGAGGTGGTGTTATTAAAGTGCAGTCGCGGTCACGTTCTCGCTCACGGTCGCGTTCACGTTCCCTTTCGGCGCGTTCTGCGGCAATTAGTCCACTTAAGGGACTTGGTGGCGGATTGAAGATCATGTCGGCTGATGGCCAACGCCGCTTACGCACATGACGCGATTGTTGTTGTAGCTGCTGGTGCTGCTGCTGCTGTTGGTGTGATAGGTGCAGTGGCGAGAGGCGAAGTTCGAGGTTGCTACTGGCGCTGCTGCCGAGGTTTTCACTGGTGCTCCCGCTGGTCGCCGCACTGAAATCCCAATCCGTGCGACCCAAACGCAGCTTCTTCTCTGCATCCAGATAGCCAAGCGGCTCATCGCTATCTCCAAGCGTATCAGCATAATCCTTCCGTTCACGTTTCGAGCAGGGTGAGGTGCTGCCGCCACCTCTTTTGGGTGAGGTAGACTTGGAAGGAGAGTGCAGCTCTTTAAGTAGACGTTCGGCCGCTGATTCCTCTGCAGAAACACTTCCCGCGCTAACATCTGCCAACCCGCGCACTTTGAGCATTTCCGCTATGCGCAAGAGTGGTCCAATTTGATCTTGACTTACATTGATCTCTCCCCGATACATGAACTCCACGATCGCTTTGAGATCAGACCAGTTAACATCACGCATTATTACTATGGGATGCTGACATGGAGTGTCCGAAAAGAGCATCTGAAAGTAGGGCGAGCACGCGGAGAGTATCATCTTATGCGCCTTAATCGAGTGCCCGTCACAGGCCAACGTCACATCCACAAATGATTCGGTTTGTAGAAGCTGATCGAAAACGCTCGTCAAATTACTTTGGTAGTTGTTCCAACGCAGGCAAAATTGTTGCGGCACTGTTACGGTGGAACCGTTCGATGAATGCGGCGAAATAGCCGGCGCGCCACCGCCGATCGCACTTGTGCCACCGGGCGAGGGTATGCGTCCACCACCAATCGTTTCGCCGCCGGGTGTTGGTGTTCGTGCGGTCGAAGAGCATGCAGGCGGGGTGGCTGATTCACGGCGCTTAGGATTTTGTTCGCGCACCGCATCGCTATCGTCACTTTGACTTGCTGCCGCTGCGGCTGCGGAGGTGTGGTGGTGCGGCGGTGGTGTGAGCGGACTGCCAAGAAAACTTGGTAACACGGAAGCGGGACGTGGTGGCGGTGGCTGTGGAGACGCGGGCGATGAAACGGATGAAGTGGCGGACGATGTGCGTGCTGCGATGGTGGCACGTTGTCGTATCAGCAGTGGACTGGATAGCAGCGAACGAAAAGGCGATGGAGATGTTGTATTATCGGGCCGCGAGCCGCTTTGTGGTGGTGGTGAGTTGGAAGTCATATTTAAATTGTTGGCTGTTGGCTGATTAAAGATCGTGTTGATGTAATTATTGGTTATTGCCGACTGGTGACGTTACACTTGTCGATGCATTGCTTTTTGAAATTTTCATTATTCGTTTAATTGTTCAAGCGTGGAATTAAATTAACTTTTTTTTAATTTGGTTTATCACAACCGCCGGCATTTCGTTTATATATTTTTTTTTATATCCTTCACTTGTGCTTTGAATTCATGTTTTCATGCTTAGTTATCGACATAGTTACTATGTGTTTGTTTGAATTTAATTTCTTGATGTAAAAAATTTAATTAATTTATAATTTTTTTTTGTCTCTTATTTACAGACATATTGTGAAGCTGAAGCAATACATTTTTATTCTGCATTATTTTTGAGTTTTTTCTTTGAGGAATCTGCCCAAGCTATTATTCTGGGAGACTTGGTAAATGAAAGAAAATCTAGTTTATGTATTATGCCAAAAGCATATCGGAAATTCTGCTAGATCAATCTTATCCTAAAACAGCGCATTATCAATCGAACCCACACAAATTTTAACGCTTGAAAACAAAGAAAGCTAAAACTTAGTACCTTTCAATCCTGAGCCTAATTTTAACCAGAGGAAAATTGTCTACTTCACTTAGGATTCAGGAATATTCTAAAGTATCTCAATTATGTGTTTCATGCAATGTTATATTTGAGCAAATAAATAGCTGAAATGAATGACTGTGTTTTTCAGTAAGCTTCGGAGAAAAAGAAAACTACAACATTGAGATTCTCTTTGACTGGTTTTGCCCAGTACGACTCAATTGATATCCGATAAGTTCATGAACTTAAAACATATACAAACGGCAGCGTTGATTTGGATCAACTCGTTAATTCTAGAGTCCGACCGATTCCAATTTTTTTTCGGGTACCGATGCCGATTAATCGGCTTATGGGGAAAGAATCGGCCGATACCAATGACGATGCCGATTCCATAAAAAATTACAAATAAATGTATTAATTCATAAAATCAGTACATTTCACGGCGTTGAAAAAACAAAAGAAAAGAAATAATTGAATTAATTGGCTTGCTATGCAACACATTACATACATATGTATGTACATCCATACATATGATGTGTAAAAATATATGTACATATATCACATTTATGTACATTACATAAACACTTTTTTATATGGTGCTAAGCAAAAAATATTTAGGAACATAAAATTTCATTTCGTTTTGTACTAAAATACACTCTTTTGCACTCAATGCAAAGGAACTTATATGCACTATGCATATAGTGGTCCACAAAATAAAAGAATTGCGATATTTTGACCGATTTTGTCAATTTTATTTAATGTTTATTATTTTTTTTTTTATAAAAGTCTAGTTGGTATACAAAAAACACCATATAAATTCAGATTTCAACTTTGTACAAAAATTAAAAAAATTCTGCTTATTTTCACCAAAATTTCAAACTTTTTAATCAGAATTTTGGAATGCAGTTTTGACCATTTCATTGTAGTATAATGAAGTGCAAGTTTCAAGCTGCTATAAAATCCCGTTAATTTTTGGCAATTTTTTTTGCTGGCAGTGTTCTCCATAAAAATAATTTTTGTGAGCTGTCTGCAAATGTTTTTTAAAGTTGTCTGTCGCTTCACCTGAACATTTGAAAAGAAATTCCAAAGAATCGGCAAAGAATCGGCGAAAAAAGGCCGATGCCGATGCCGATTAATCGGTCGGACTCTAGTTAATTCGGAATCATCTCGGGAATTAACTGCAGTTGATCCGGATTAAGTCCTAGAGTTAATTCCCAAACTTAACTCGGTTCAAGGTAATATTCGATGACAACACTGGCCAAAACTCGGAGAGCGTAGAATACGGAGAAAGTGCAAAACTAGCATGGACATATGGACCTTTTCATCGGTAATGCAGATAGGAATCCAATTAAAATTGAATAAGAACTTATTTGAATTAATGCGGTTACAGCATTACCGACGACTTGGTGTTCTGCGCTCCCTGAGCAAACAAATACGCGAACAAAGCAGCCAACTACTTCATCCGCAATAGCCGAATGGTGAGGGCTGCGTACTACAAGCCTGCGGGTCCTTGGTTCGATACTCGGTTGTAGCGACTGCCAAAAAAATTGTTTCTATTGTTACTTTAACTATTTTTTTTTTTAATTTTATTGGATGTATATATTTAGTTTTACTTTATTTTATTTTCGTTTGTTTTATTTTATTTCACATTTTTTATTTTAGTATTAGTTACATAATTTAAATTTTTAGGGTTTAATTTTACTAAAAAAGTCAAAAACAACTAACTAAAAACAACCTTAAAAAAATATAGAAGCAATACTTGAATGAATATTCTATTGGCCGTGGGATTCGAACCTACGACCTCGCGGTTCGTAAATACGCATTACTGCCGTCTCTTAAGGCACAATTTTGATCCAGGGACCAAAAATAACTGTTATCTCGAATATATCTGCAAATTGAAAAATTGCCCGAATTTTGAAATTTAAGGAAAACGTATTTCATAACAGATGAAAAATATTTTTTATTTCGCCAAAAAGAGTTTCTTTTTACGTTGCTTGATAACAGTTATTGCCCAACGTTAATTTTTACGTTGCTTAGTAGCAGTTGTTGCCAAACGTGTATCTTTTACGTTGTCTAGTGAACGTTGTAAGATAAGAATAATGACGAAAATGGAGATGGAGAAGAAGATAAATATGATGAAAATAAAAGTGAACGACTGAAATAACTGTTATCAGACAACGTAAAAATAAAACGAAATAAAAAATATTTCTCATCTAATAACTGTTATGCAAGAATGTTTTTCTCAATTTTTGATAATTTAAATGCCGTCGGAATGATAGTTAGTTAGTTATTGCGCGGGATATTTGGTGTTCTTTCCATGATTGAGCTAACGAATGGCACTGTTAGTAATTCCTTTTACCTCAATAAGAATAATCTTTGTATTCAAAATCTTCAAAATATTATAAGTAAAGCAAATTTTAAATGCGGGATTGGGTTCGTTGCTAATGTGAGGAGTTTAATATAAACCTGGCGACGTTTATTATAATATCTCCAACTCGTTTTGTTAAATAAGAAAACTTGACATTTTTAAAAATAGAATTTAGATACTCCAAATTTTTTTTTCAGTGGCAGCGGGTGAGTAGTTAGTATCTCCAGTTGTTTTATTTATGAAAAATTTCAACCCATTGGCGTACTCTCGCGACAAATTTTTGGTGCAGAACAGTCCAGAAGGTTGCTGTTTTTAGTCACCGCTGACAAAATTTACCGACGGAACATATAAACCTTAAATTGGCTTAAGTGCTCAATGTGATATCATTATATCCTGGTGGCGAAATAAGTATAACTCATATCCATAAATCTTGGGAAAGTTAGGTACATGGAAGTCTGTGTAAGTCCTTGAGGAAATTTTCAGCCATAAACGACTGCAATTCGACTAGTTTGATGAAAACTGTAACTGAATTCATTTGATTCTAGACAATGCACTTATAGGAGTCAGAAATGCGGAGGCAGTTTGCTCAACGTATTTGGAAATGTCGCACCCTTGAATATTTCAAAGTTCCCTTAGAACCTTTTTGAGCATCCGAGGGTTGAATTAAAATTTATTAAAAAAATTACTTTCATTTGTTTCAGTATTTCGAACTAAATTTGCAAAATTGATTCCCAACCAAAAAGCGGGTTTAAAATGTTTGTGTGAAAAGCTTAATGGCGTTGCCATATATTAAAGTTCAGTTCTAAAATTTGTTATTTGATTACAATTTTTGTTTTTTAAATAATTAATGCAAAGTATGCAAGTTTTGAGTTTTTCGCTTCAATTTAATTCAATAATCTTTTGATTTTTTTTTAATTGACTTTTTTAAAGTTGATTATTTGATGTTGCCAGTCAATTTTGGCTGCGGTTATCTGCATCAGTCTAAGAAGTTGAGATAGATACATATATCGTATATCGATGGCTGAGTGGAAGATCGACCTATTTCAGTTGCCAGTTCGAAAACGCCGTATCTCAGAAAATTTTTCAACAACTCGCTGTTTGAGAATTTGATTGAAAACGCGTTTTCGAGCTGGCTGCCGAGATAGGTCGATTTTCCACTCAGCCATCGATATGTACTTTTATATGCCAAAATGCTCGGAATGAAAAGAGATCGAGCCATGTCGGCCTACTTCTCTCACCGAGGATACAACTAACTTATCTTGGCAAGACGCATACTTCAAACATAACGATATTTTTGAAAGAGAACCTGCAAAATTCAAATAACTGCTAAAAGAAAATTACCTAAAGTTAAAAATCGAAACAATGTTTTGGAAGAAATGTTTATAGTACTTAAAAAATAGGCGTGGCTCCATCCACTTATAAAATTCGCATATTTATTAGCTGATTTATGCAAATTGTGGGTCCGACAAATGGGTTTTTGTGCCACGGTATCTACGAAAAATGCTAAATCTACGATATATCACTATGTAGTCATGTTAAAATTCTCAGATTCAGAAAAAAAATCTTCTTGAAAAACTTTTAAAAAGGGGTGTGGTTAAGTATCTTTATAACCGCTTAACGATGTTCCGCAAACTTGGTACACGGAATGCATATTATCACACTAAGCAAGACGTACCAAAATTTAGAAGTCGGACAATAATCACGCCCACTTTCAATACACCAAAATTTTATATACCAAATAGTGGACAGATGATCTCTCCACACAAATTTTACCTTTGTTTTACGACATTTACTTTTTCGATCAAAAACAATCGTTGTTTGTGGATTTTTTTACCGAAATTTTAGATCATAAAACATTTAATACAGCCCTAAAAATGCATTATCCATTATAACGGTTAAAAATGATCAAAAAATATGTATATATAAATAAAAATTAATGATCTAACAATAAATGTCTTTACTACTTTTGGTCCCTGTTTTATATACAAATAACACTTGAACTTAGCTTGAGAGAAAACATTTACAATTGTTTTTGGAAAAATGCGCCATTTCCATTACATAAATTTACTATATTAACCCAAACAACAACTGTAATCCAAGATCAAAGTAAAATAATCTGCCTCAAAGCCTCACTCAAAATTTCGCTGCGGATGACGCAATCCACGGTGAGTTAAAAGCAATATCTGAAGGAGTTATGACCCATTTGAAATCTCTAAGCAATTAAACCAATCCCTAGTGCTCTGTGAAAACTGTGGTTAGTCCTGTCCTGATATAATCTTCCTTTCACTTGCCACTTTAGGGATTTAATTAACAAACAGTCGCATCACAACGATATCATTTACTTATGATATAGGTACGATGACCATTCGTACCGATTTTTGCGGGACAGTACCGATTTTGAGAAAATTGTCGCGCTGAATATTTTTTAAAAGTCGGGACGTGTGGCCCGATTTTTAATATTTGATTAAAATATTTCAAATTGTGATGAACATTTATTCTAATTTTTATAAATGTTGTACAAATCTTGAAATTTTGATTTACATGTTTTTTTTTTCTTAGATAGTAAGTTATATTTTCATAGAAAAATAATAAAAATTTTTTAATTTTTTTTCTCTTTGTTTTTGTTTTTTTAAATAAAACTATATTAAGCCTTTTTATTCTAAAAAAAACAAAATTGTATGTTCGGATTCGATGCTTTAGAATTGTCCTGATTTTTGGCCACCGTAGATATAGGCGGATTACATAAATACTAAAAAAATTAGTAAGTCTTTCTAAATTTTTTCTGTTCAGTATGGCCCGCTTAAATGGGCAGTAGAAAGTTTTTTGTTTAATAATCTTTAAAAACTAATTAACCTATCGATTTAATGATTAAATTTGTTGACCGATTAATTGGTTTAAGTAAATGAGAACACCAATCAAGGGAGCCCAATTAACCAGGGCCTACTGTACACTTAGGCTAATATGTATTTCCATATTTTGAACCGCTTTAAAAAAGTTTAGGTTACGCTGTAGCGTGCCGCTCAATTGCGGCTGTGAGAAAGTCAAGCTCTACCAAACGGTGTAGGTACTTTAAGTATTATTTTTTTGTTTTCTTGAGCCCTACCGAACTACATACATACATACATACTTCTTTAATTATTAATACATATATTTTTTGTTTGCCTCGCGCAATGATGTTCCATTCTCTCCTCCGATAACGTTCACTAATTTCCTAAACGCTGACACACTTCACCTGAGCAGACACTAGCAGAGCGCCGCACACTATCCACTGCGGAACGTAAGTGTATGTAAAAAAATAGCTGTGTCTATTTTTATGACTGTGTTGGTATTCTACACAAATGTACAAGCAAGCAAATCGCTGCACTTAAACGGAAGTACATTTTCGAGCGTGTATGTGTGAGTGGGTCTTTTTTACAAGCTTTTATTTCGCTTTTGCTTGATATAGTGCGTAGGTATGTGTTTTTTGTGCTCATCACACGCACACAAATATAATTTAGAATAATACATACATATCTAAGTAATACACTCGTATGTATTTTAATTGACTTGATAATAATTTGGAACTCGTCGTATAATGTGTGTCATTTAAAGGCGAGCGAGTGCAACTGAGCGTGTGCACGCGCGTGTGTGTGCGTGCTTTGATGTCACACATGCATAATTCGAGGAAAATAAACCGGAAAAAGCGCGATTACGCCACTCATACAACGAAATGCACACATTGGTTTTTGTGTATTTTTTATTTTTTATTTTTTTCAGAAATTATCGGCACACAGCCAAAGCGTTTTGATTTTGTAACTAATACCTATATCTATTTGTATATTACTTTGTTTTTTTTTTTTGTAGCGCGCGCTATGTGCAAAAATTTATATTACTCGCGTGCCACTCAACTCAACTGAACGCAGCGCAACGCAACGCAACGTAAACACAACACAGCACAGCACAACTCGACTCTACTCAACTCAACTCAATTCAGTGCAATTCGTTTCGATTCGAATCGACGCGACTTAACACAAACACACTGCTGCTGCTGTTGATTTTGCTGTTGCTGCTGCGGTTATGCCTTTGGCTGGCGGCTAGCATTGCTGGCTTGATAGCTAGCTAGCTGGCCGGCTGACTTACTAACTGCTCGAATGGCTGGCCGGCTAGTTGACTGCCTATTTGGCTCGCTTGCGCGCCGGTTCGACGTTTGGCAAGTGCCGGCGTATAGCGGCACAGACTGACAACTAACAGCCCGCAATGCCAGCGGCAAAGTTAGGCGGCGCGCGTATGCGTGCAAAATAATCTCAGCGTTCTTTTTTTGCTTTTTTGTATACTTTCTTTACTTTTGCTTGATTGGCGGTTGATGACGTATGCAGCTTAGTTAGCGGTGAGCGGCGCGCGCGGCTGGCGGCAAGCGGCGACGACGGCGCGAATTTTCCCGCATACGACAATTTTTCACTTTTCCCGTTTGCCGGTGTCACCTCTGAATCTGTGGTGTGTGTGTGTATGTGTGTGTCTAAAGGTGACTATGTGTGCGCGCGTGTGTGTGTGTGTTTGTATTTTCTATTGGCATACAGCGTACACCATGTACGGTAGTAAGAGTAACGTGTGACGTGTGTCGTGTGCGTTTTTTTTTTTGTTGGTGTGTACTAGTTGGCTGTAGTGGATGGTAGTTTGTTGAAATGACGTTCAACAACAAAGTCTTCTCAGCACGACCGTCTGAATTAGACTGAAATCGTTTCGCACATTTTGTTACGGAAAAACTAAACTGAACTCAACTGAACCAAACTGAATGGCACTGAAATCGCAACAACTTTGACTGGGGGAAAATTTTCGCTGTCTGTTGATGTTGTCTGCGCGCCACACGGCCGCACTGCAAGCAAACGTAAGTAAGTAAGTAAGTAAGTAAGTATGAACATCCGTAGCCACCATTTACATACATACATACATACATATGTATGTATATATGTACAAATATTGTACCGACTACAACTTGCCTTATTCCGTTTAGTTCCTGCCATTGCTTTTGATTTTGCTGCTGCCGACGACGACGACGATGGCGATGGCGATGACGATGCCACTCTTATCGTAGTTGTTGCATTCTTACCGGACGTTTTGTTGTTGCTATTATTGTTATAGTTGTTATTGTTATTGCTATTGCTATTGGAACTACGATTACCATTGCTGTCGTGCGGAGACGCTAAAAAGTCCAAATCGAATAGAGGCGAGACGACAAGGCGCACAGCACCGCCGGCAGCATGGCAGTGGCACTCAGCTACCGAAGCACTAAAGCTCCAAAGTAGTTGCTCGCTGTCGCCATCGTCGCCTGTATAGTACTGTTACTACTACTTCTGATTCTGCTACTTTTCACTGTATTTGCGCTTGCTTGTGAGTAACTCTAGTCGCGTATGCGCGCACTCCTCCGCTCCATCGACAGCCGGCCAGAGGCAGGCAAGTCACTCAGTCACCCAGCCACCGAGCCACCCAGCCAGCAAACGTGTGCGCCACCTTAATGCGTGTATGTGCGCCTTTCTGCACTATCCCTTCTCAGCTTGATTTTGGTTGTGGTAGCTCGTTTGTGGCCCCTACAAAACACTACTTTGCCTGTAGTTGTGTTGACTCCACGACGTCGTCGTCGTCGTCGTCGTGTGTTACAATAGCATTGCCGGCATTGTTTGTGGTAGTACGTAGTTCTCATCCGTATAGTAGTTGTCGGCGACTCTTTCGTAGTAGTCGCAGCCGCTGTCGTTGTCGGTGTCGGTGTCGTTGCCGGTGTTCTCGACATTGGCATCGTCGTCGTAGCCGTTGAAGTCGTCATCGTTATCGTCGTTGGTTGTCATTGTCTTTGTTGTTGTCGTGTTAGTCGCAGTTGCTCTTATAGTTATGTTGTTGTTGTTGTGATTATTTGAGCTCTTTTAGTTGTTATTGCAGTTTGGTTGGCATTGGCGTAAATGGCGAAATTCTGCGCGTTTACCGACGGCTTTCGCGTGTGTGACGCTTGCCAATAACATCATCAACAACAACAATCGTGGCATGCATGTAGGGGAAAACTTCTCTAATAACTTTGAGTTGTGGGTGTGCAGCGGCTTTGGCGGTTACGTTTGCTTCCAACTTGCTTTTGGTGTTGATTTACTTTTAGGCAATTCGAATATGTTTTTGGAGTTACAGAGTACATTTGGAAGACAAAACCCTCATCGATGGAAAAAGTAGGAAAATATTTTTTTTTTGTTTTTTTATGTTCTTTTTTTTAATTAGATTTTTTCACGATATCAAAATTTTTTTGGTTTGTATTTTTAATAAGAAATGGAGTTTACACAAAAAAATTGATAAAAATTTATCGAAAATGATCGATTAAAAATTTATAATAAATATAATCGATTAAAAATTTATAAAAATAATCAATTAATCTAATAAAAAACGAATAAGTCATGACTTTTTATAGTACGGGCCGTGCTGTATTCATTTTTACATATTGAATTTTGTATATTTTTTTTTATTTTACTGGCTACTTTGGTGCCTTTTTATTATTTTTCTGTTTGCCTTTTTTACAATAAAAGAAAATATATATCAAAAAAGTATAGATTAAAATCGACTAGAACAACCGGTTTTTAATTTTTTTTTTAGTTGAATCTGTCAAAGAATTAAAATTTAAAATAAATATGGTGGAAAAACTTTATTTTACAAATTGTTTTTCAACAAATGACAATTACAAAACCGATATCGAAAATTATTAGATATATATGAGGAAAGCTAAAAATCGCATATAAACAAATTATGCATTGCGAGAAATGAGTTGTCGATAATATTTTCGATTTTATAGGTTTTTTTATTACTATCGATAATTTGAAATCACATTAAATGAAAATCGGATAAAACAGTCAATCAACATCGGAGAAACGATGAGTTTTCGATTATTTTTTCTCCTCTTATCAATTATCTTCTCGATTGTTATCGATTATTTTTATGATTTCGGAGATTATTTTTTGTTGAGAGAAATGCATATAAAAAACAACACTCAAATATGGGCAATATTTTAAAAACAAAAGAAAACGATTGACGGCTACCGAAAAGCCGATAATAAAAATCGTAAGGTATTCAGACGAAAATTTTTTGTAAAGAGGATTAAAAAAAAATCGCTAAACACGAAGAAATATGATCGAAAAATTTAAAATCCTTATGCATACGAAAACTTGCCAAAGAGAGGGCACAGATATGGGCGGAGTAGACTGGCAAGGGGGGGCAGACTGGCAAGGAAGGCAGGAGATATTAGTTGAAGAGAGTCAAAACTCCATCGATATCATTATCGATAGTTTTTCCAAATACTTATTGACATTTTTATCGAAATATTGAATATATTGGCATAAATTGTGGTAACAAGAAATTTTTCGTTATCGACAAATTTATCGAAAAATAAGGTATTTATCGATAACATAATCGATACATTTACGAAATCAATTGCCGACTTATTTGTCGGTATAATTTTATACAACCATTTTAATTAATACTGTTATCGATAATCACCGCTATCGATATCAACATACGGAAAAAGCCTACTGGACATTGTTATGGCTCCTCAATTACTTATGAAATGTTTTCAATTTATTTGAGTAAATCCTATTAAATATTGTTAGCGATATATTTTTCAATATCGTTATCGATAGATTTATCGACGGACAATTTTACTGAGGTTATTATCGAAGGAGACCAATCGATGCCAATAAACGTTCCAAATATTTTTGTGCTGCGTGAAATTATAAGCTTGGCATTAACATCACATTTTACCTCATTTTTCTTGCATACATATATGTATGTCAGCAGCAAAAGTTTTTCGGCAAAAAATTTCAAGATAGGCACGGTGGGGACATCACACTCACCGCGTATACGCAACGACACCATTTCTCCGCATTCGAAAGAAAGAAGCTTATTGAGAATGTGGCTGCATGCTATGCACATTCAGCGAACCACCACCCACTTCGCATTTGGCTTTTGTGCTGCTTCTGCAGTCTGTTGGCAACAAAAACAATAAATAGTGCGTATTACTTTTGTTGCACCCCAGAGTCCAGTTGGTAGGCTGTTATGCACCTATGTACGCATCGGCAGGGTGTCTCTAATGCAGTTGCGAGAGCAATAAAAGCAACAACTACTCGCATACAAAATCCACTGCATGCAGACGGCTAAACTATTTCGCGAAGGGTTGCACTGCTATCGCCGCTATTGCAAAGACAAGGCCGCGACGTTGTTAAGTTTCTGCTGCTGCTGCTGCTGCTGCCTTTGCCTTCTTGTTGCGTATCGCGTACAGCGTCATAGGCCTAAAACGCGTACCTACACACTTGTGACGCTTAGGCGCGCGTTGTTGATTGGTGGCGCGGCAAGAGCTTGCATGTTGAACGCGCCCGCGCGCTGCGCCAAATAGCGATAAAATTTAGTTTATAGTTTCTGCACAACTACTATGAGAAGATATAGCGAGCGAACAAACGCAATGCAAGTCAAATGCAATGTGAAGTTACATTTGAAATATGCGCCTACGCCGTTGTCGTTGCAGACACTTTGACGTACTCACATACTCACTGTGCTTGGCAGGTTTATATGAATAAAGCGGCCAGAGCGCACATATGTAAGTGAGCGCGCGCGAACTTTCTATCGAACGAGCCTTTTCCCATCTGAAGGAATTTCCACATATGCACACATATACACACATGTACATGATTGAATTGCCGCTTGTATGCGTGCGTCTCGCATTAGCGTCGCGTCGCTAGTTTTGTTGCATGCGCTCATGCACCCTCTCACGACCAACCATGCACCCACTCCCTCACCCGCCATCTATTCATTCTTCACGCGCGCAACGAAGTGATTAGCAACCCTGTGCCTCCTTCGGCGATGCTACTAATCATCACTCTGCACCGCCATCTCTAGTAAGTATGAACTCACAAGCGACCGACCGGCCGTCCACCACCCGCATTCGCATTTGTAGCGCTCACGGCCGGCGCTTCCTTGATGAGCAGTTTGTTTGCTTCGTTTTGTTACTGCCGAAATTTTCATATTTTTTTGGCGCTCTCCTCTTTTTTGAGGTGGCGTCTGCGTTCTTGAGTATGCTGCGTTTGTCGAAACCATGTTGCAACCCTTGCTGGTATAGGTAGGTATAGGCCCCAAAAGCGTCGTGG